CAAGAGTGTCTCACAAGAGTGCCCCTTAAGAGTGTCCCACAAGAGTGCCCTATAAGAGTGTCCCACAAGAGTGTCCTACAGGAGTGTCCCACAAGAGTGTCCTACAAGAGTGTCCCACAAGAGTGTGCACACACATACGGGACCGATGCCAATGTTGGACTAATGACATGGCCTATAGGATTTTTTACTCACTTCCGTTGTGTGTGTCTCATATACTTCTTGTTGATGCAGGTGAAACACAACAGCGCACGGTCTTGCACTCCTATTTACAAGAAGATCAGACGCCGCAGTTGTGGATTTCTCTGTATTATGTGGACGGTTATCATTTTCAAGTGCTTCTTTTCGAGATTTTGGGACAATGCCATTGTTTCTTTCGTGCTGTGGATCTGCCAGAACCTTTACGCCAGTGCTTGATTTGAATGCAAAACGAAGACCCTTCATGACGAAGACGGAGCTTGGTGGTGAAGTCCCCAGCACATGCTGCCTTGGTGGTGGAGTCCCCAGCGCATGATGTCCAACAGCGTGCCGGAGCGTGAAAAAGAGACTCTAACCGGCTGTGTCTCTTTCTATACACAGTGGATTGACATATGTGTTTGCATTCGGGTTCGTGGGCTCCATCTTGTTTCTTTTTGCTTGTTTTTTTGATAGTTCACTCCAGAGTGTCCTGCTCAGGGGACACGCCTCCTACTCTATCATCCGGACAGCATGTATCGCCCGCTTGGTCTTGGCATAGCCATTCGACTGCTAGACTCAAGATCGCAACCGTCGTCATGTTGAAAGCGTGCAACATTTTGAGGCAGGAGGGCTGCGCAACCGGGCTGGTCAGCTAGTCATCTCGGCTTTCCAACATGTTGACTTGCTCCAAGATATGTGTATAATTTAATGAAATCAGCTGGGGGCAGGTCCATGCTCAATGATTCAATTCCATGACAACCAGTTGTGAGGTGCAGTGAGGGTTGGGGTTGGGGCGGGGCCCAGTTTCCCACATAATTGTGTTTCATTGATTTTTTTCATGGAGAGTCTCACAATGGATGACTGGATGACTACATGATAGAAACAAAAGGCTCACAACAAGGTCATCCTAGCCTTTTCATGTCAGAAGATTCCTTTTTGCGATCTTGTTTCCCAACACCCACCTGAAAACTCGCATCGTGCTCATCATCATCGTCGATGCTCAAATTTGATGCCACTGGGCTCACTTCGCCTTTCTCCTTGCCAGGAGAGGCGAGAATGAGGGTATTTGCGTGCCATGTCAAGATCTGGTTTCGCTGCAGCCGTGCAGCCGTGGTTTAGCTGGTCTTGCCATGTGCTGAGTTTGCGATGGCGATGAGTGCTCCCCGCACCTCCTTCTCCCTCTCCTCCTGAATCACCTCAGCAAAAAAGGCAGGAACTCGCGGAGGGCGTACCAAATGGGCACTCGCCCTTCAAAGGATTCTCCTTCGTGCCGGATCAGAGATTGGAGGATCCTCGAACTTGAAGTCCAAAGCCGGGCCCAGACTGGGTTGTTGATGTTCAATGATTTTCTTGTTCAGACTGTGGATTGAAGACTCCGCACCTGATTGACCACATCTTGCAGGCTTGGAAGCTTCTGCAGGAGGGACATGACAATGGTCAAACCTTGAAGCCGTTGCAAATTGCTGAATCATTTGAACCAGCGAAAAATGATGCAGATTGTTGTTGAACTTTATGTCTGGGACAGGTTCAAGAGCACTCTTTCAGTTGAATCTGGGAAGAGATGCAGAACATCCCAGAAGCGCCGTCAACCCGACAGCCACACCACCGAATCACAATGCCTACAACATGCTAGGCCAAGAACAAACACTTTGACCCTGACTTTGAAAACTGGAAAATGCTGACGAAGTACAAGCCACCCACCCACCGAGCTTCCCACACAAATGGCAAATGGAAGGATCCCTGCGGAGGGATGCAAACTAAGACAAGGTGTGGGCTTTTGCATCGGGAGAGCATCATATCATGTATTGTAACTTAAATTGTTAATGAATCTGAATGATGCGTCAGGCTTTCTACTCTGCCAACTGTGCTGTAAACACAGGCCAGCGACACGCCCCATCCTGCAGAAACTTTGAGGCAGTGAGACAGAGAACAACTGCTATAACAACTGCTTTATTTATTAGTTAAAAGGACCAATATTCGCAAGTTTATCCTTGCGAAATGTTTCTGAAGCGACTCTTGCATGGAGGAATGTTTTGGATCAGTTCCTTATGCGACAGTCACATCTTCCACGAAAAAAAGCAAAAAACAACCGTCACCCAATGTCACCTCTCCTCGGAAAGACGTTGAACGTTTCGGCAGACGTTTGGGGCTCGTGAATGGTCCATGGTCCCGAAAGGAAGACGACTTTACAAACAGGGGCGAAGTGGAACTTCCACTTCCATGTGAGTCGGAGGGGATCTTTGAGAGCCAAAGATATTGATTGAACCATCACACCGCGATGCCCAGTGGGAGTCCTCGAAGATGGCCACCTCAGCTCTGCGGTACATAGCTTGTTGGGAGAAAGGTGCATCAACAAAAACATGTGGTGCTGTAGGACTGTGTGTCTCCAGCCTTTAACCAAAATTTGGGATCCTCATGAAAAGAAACAACAAACAAAGTACGTTAAGCTCTCAACCCTAAAACCTTCTCATTCCCCTTTTCAGCTCGGCACCAGCAAATATCTGAAAAGCTGGATCCCAAGCTCCTTGCAGTCCTTGCAGTCGGTCGAGCATGATCAGGGCTTCACAACTTCACAGTGGAAGCTTACGCCCGGAAGCAGCGCCCGGAAGGGGGACCTCTGAGTCCAGTGGGGCTTTCCGCTTCATCCGGAACTCCCCGAAGCGGCGTCACGTCTGAAGAGTGCGATGAAGAGTGCACTGCACACGTCATCACAGAGCTTCCACGAAAGAGCCGCGCTCCGTAGATTCAGTAATTTCCAGGGAAATCAAGGCAAACCATGTCCTCCTCTACCGCAGCGTATGAATCAGCGTTTTTCCAGCAGATCTCACTTTAGTCAATTTCATGCGCCAGGAAGTATGTGTCATACGCAGCTCCTGCCGCTCATCTAACCAATCCTCTGCATTGTCGTCGTTGAGCAACGAGCACACTAACGCCTCATGGAATCTTCAATCAAATCCGGCGTATGGTCACGGGACTTCTTACATGTCACAAAAACAACAAAAAAGCAGCAAACCATGTTTGATGCTTTTGGCATCGACCCACATCTGTCCCACACCAACCACTTGTATATATCCTTGAATACGTATGTGTGTGAACATGCTCACATGGTCATAATATGGTCATGTCGACATGGCGCGGGATGTTGTGTCCCCGTCCTCGGCCCCCCGACCAAGGGAGGCCGCGTTCGGCACTGCGTGGCCTGGGCCTCGCGCAAGGCGACTTGGATCCCGTTGCGCTTGCAGATCACCTCGTAAAGCCTGGGCCGCAGAGCAGCTGAGTGGTAGGGGCGCCCGTTTCAATGCGAACAATCCGAACGGCCGAGCGTTTCGTCTGAAAGCCTGCGGCTTCGTGGGTCAAGTGTCGGACCTCGGATGTTTGTTGCGGTTAAATCTGCAAGGTCTGATGTTGCGCGTCAATTTCCATCGGAAAAATTAGATAGAGAAAGAACACTTGAGCGGTTTCGAAGACCCCTCTTGACTTTTTCTATTGACTACCAAATGTGTTTTCGCGGTGTTTTGCGGAACTTTCGCGCCCTTCGTTTTGACTTTCGCAGAAGATGCTGTTATCTGGTGCTTTCGTGGAGCCTTTCGCGACAAGTCGTTTTCTCGTCCCAAAAGACTACCTTTCCCAGGGATTTTCGGCATGGGCTTTCACGAGGCTTGGCTTTGCGGACCATTCGACTGGGTTTTGTTAAGGGCTTGGAGCCCAGGTGTCTGAAGTGACTGTTCTCCACCCAAAAATAGAACAAGAAGTCAGTGATCTGCAAGAATCCTCGGCATTTTGGTGGAGTCCTCTGAGTCCCAGGATGGGGTAATTTAAGTCGCAAGGCCTCATGATCCTCATGAAAAATTCATGGTCAAGCCACCATTACACATGGAACTCTTTTGTTTCTTCAGAATGCCAAACTCTTCTCAGTGGGCTCCCAGGAAGCGGACCTGTAACTTGAAATGTTCTTTCAGGAGTTTGTTGCTAGTGGTAATGCCCTTGTTACTAGTAGCTGCGTAGCTTCAATTGGTGATGTGTCGTGCAAATGCCACATCACATCTGAGGGCTGCACAAGTATTCATTCACCTGAAGATGGAGAAGTCGGGAGAGGCTGTGCATAGGGATTCAAGATGATTCAAGACATGACTTAAATATCAAACTCCTTCCATACAAAAATAAGGTTGGCCGAGGCCTGCGACCGTTTAGTCTTGACCAATCTTGACCCACACCCAAATGTTTATGCGCTTCATCAGCTGAGGCACTGCTTTCAAGAGCTGCAAGTATGCCTTTTCTCGAGCGGTCTCACTGGGAGCCTTCGAGATTCGAGAGAGCTGAGCTGGTTCCGATGTCTTTCAGGAGGGGTCAAAACTGGAGTGCCCCCAAATGGGATTGCTGAAGGTTGGTTCAGTAGTGTGACAACTACTTGCATGCTCCCTCTCTTTCGGAGAAAGCCACGGAAATAGATCAAAAGCGCTGGTAGTGCAGTGAATCCCCCTCCAATCGATGAAAAGGGAGGTAACCAAACCTATCTAGATGTTCCGCCAAAATGGCCATGGCACGGTGGGATGGGGAAAGAATTGGAACCAAAATGGACACATGAAACATAAAGAAACAAATTCCTGTTCAAACATGTCATTTCATTGTCATAATCTAGAATCTATCTATACAATATAATATCGTAAACAATTTCAATACATTATATATATGGTATATAGTAAGATATAAACAAAATGTTTTATGATATAGTATAATATACACCGCTGTGAAAGTTGTCCAGGGTTTTTGGACTTGTAGATGGCGCAACAGTGCGTTGCCCCCTGGAGTTCGAAGATGAAGTAAAAAGACAAGCCATCAATTTTCACAATGGAGTATATAATATTTGATCATATTTGTATGTTTATACATTATTGTATAATATAGTGTTAAAAATACATGCAATTCACCGTAGAATATAGATCATTATAATATTATACATACTTCTCCACGATCCATTCATGGATCTCCAAACTCCGCCTCCAAAGATGCCACCAAGCTCATGGCCACCTCGGAGACCTTCCGGCAGTGCAGCCTCGCAGCGGCCGCAAAACGTGCGGGTTACGTCTTCGGTGCTGTGGAACTGCTGCGGAACTGCGGAACCTTCTGTTTCAAAGGCAACGAGAACTGTACCGAGTTCCCATCATGCCAAACACTCCTAAGGTGGATCCCTGGCTTCAGCCGTGTTCTTCAATCCGCACCACCTCCACGCTGGTCAAGCTTGATCAATACTAATACGCTATCCCTAAAGGTCCTGCTCTGCCTGTCATGGCTCCCGTTCCGAGCTCCCTTACCATTCTCTGTTAGTCGAAATTCGCAATCCCGAGCCCTGCACTTCTCTGGGTTGCTTTGCTCCAGATATTTGGAAAGATGGCCCTGCAAGCAGCATGAAACACAACAGGCAGAAGGAGAATCACACTGCCGATCATTCAGTATAGTATATGATATCTGATATCTGTATATAGGATAGTATATGATAGTATATTGATATTCAGTAATATGAGTATATGATATATGATATATTCAGTGTATATATATATACAGGATATCCACACAAATCCGTGTTGAGTTGAGGATGATGATCAGGTCGTTCTCTTCGCAAACACACTCAGGCCCCTCTTGGGCCGGTATGGTCGTGGCCACGGTTCCCCCAGCCCTGCACTTAAGGGGATGAGCGTTCCCCGGGTGTGGCGTGGGCCGTTAAAGCACGCCCAGTTGAAGAAACTGCAAGATCAAATTACAACAAATCAAGACGAATCACATGGGCAGAAACACATGACTGCTTGAAATGGAACATGCAGGAAACTGCAAAGAGCATAACTTAACGTCTGGTTCTCTTCCTTTTCCTGCAGGTTCTACAAGAGAAAGTCGCATTCGCTGGAGACATACCCAGGCCTTCGTGGCGATCACTGACCCAGCACCATGACCGATGGTCAGAACAAAGGATTCCTCCTTCCGGATGAGTCATGATGAGTCTTGGGATCCAGCCCAAAACGTGGGTTCTCATGAATGCAGCAAACATAGAATAGCCAAACTGCCAAAATGGATGCCACGTGCGTGGCACAAAAAGCGCCACTACTCAGTCACTGTACTGTATCACGACTCCGGCCGACTCCGTTCGTTCGACGAAACGAACGCGACCGCGACGCGGCTCCAAAGGACCATCACTCACGAGGCCAAGCTTATGACACGCTTCCTTCACCTGGCGGGTGCGACAGGCCCGGTGTCCAAGTGCCAAGCAGTGCCCAGCAGTGCCCAGCAGTGCCCAGCAGAAGGCTCCATTAGGGGGGAGGGATCATGCACATTGCTGCTTCAATCCACAAACATGTCGAGAACAAGCAGTTGACAGTGGACGATTGGATTTATGGCAAAAGTTCTTTTAAACAAATTGTCTGACTTCGACCCACCTCG